CCCCAAAACCCCAAAACCCCGTTAAGATAATATAAGACTAATAGAAAAAATAATGATAACTGAAATCAAATAATTTATTGACATTACTATCTCCCAAATTATAAATAATTATAAATTTACATATAGGAGCGAAAACTATACACTCATTACTATCTCGCATCATTTTATGCATGATAGATCTTAGAATCCCTAGGGCTTCTCTCAAACGTATTTAAAATTTTACTTTGAAAAAGTACCTGAGATTCTTCCTCCTCTGATATTTTTCTATCTTGAATTTCATGCCTAATCATCGGAGATAATCGACCATGAATCTAATTGAATTAAAATATCTTTGGATTCACATTTACAAAGCTAGCTTGCTTCCCAAATGTTGAAATGTTCTAGGCTGCTACTTGCTGCAAAAGATAATTATGATTCAACATCTAAGAATCATTCTTTAATCCACTAGTATTTCTATTGCTCATAATTATTACTCTTGATTACTAAGTATCTGTAAAAAGGGGTATCTAGTTATTTCTACTTCTGAGATCATCTGGTTCTATAATAGCGTTTTTAAGATTTTCTAATTCTTGCTTGGGTATTTCGCTAATGTTTTATGATTAGTCACCTTTCATATTATAGTTGTCTGCAATTATGATTTCATCATCCTCGTCATTAATATCTACAAGAGAAATAGATTTTTTTATTTTTCTTTCATTCAGTATTTTCCTAAGTTGACCCTATGACTGGATGTTTCCCAAATAATTTTCTTACATATCTTACTATCTATATTTTTTCTGTGTTGGGGATCTTTGATCAAAAGTCTCGCCTGAATAATTCAATGTAGGATCAACCTTAATATTTATCTTAATCACAGATTCCTTGTCCTCTTCATCCTCTTCTTCATCCTTTATTATTTCTAGTTATTTTCTATGCTGATCTTTTATTGTTTTATTGAATGACTCACCAACTTTAAAACTTTGTAAGGGAGATATATCATTTTCACTATAGTACTCTTCTGCCGCATACTAACCATCATCATCAAAGTCTTGGAAAATATAAGGAGACCCATCTAATTGATACCTTATGTTTTACTAAATGTCTTCTAGTTATTTTATCAAATAAAATCTGTCCTCTTAAGTCAAATCATCGAAGTTTACTTCATTTTAAAGATCTAGGACTTTACTTGTACTTAATGCTTATTGATTTTCAGTGATTGCTTCATCAGGAGAGTGATCTCTGTTTTTATTCTGAAAATTCTTCATTTGACTTGCTAACTGTTCCTAGAATCTTAGCAAAACCTAGTTATCTAGAGGTTTAAGATTTCTTTGATTGGGTTTTCTACCCTTTAACTTAGATAATGTTTAATCTAAGTATGTTGCGATAGAACTCATTTAAATGATACTCTTATTGTTACTATTATTAGTAGGAAAATTAATATCTTTCTTGGAGGAGGGTGAGTTCATTTGAAGCTTGCCCAGATACATCAATAATTAATGGATATTAAAGCTGTTATTTTAAGGAATTTTTTGATTGTCCATATATTACTATATTTGTTTATCTTAAGGCATCTTAAATTTGTATTTTTCTAGAATTTTTAATTATTGAGGAAGAATTTGGTTTGATTACTAATTGTCTTAGAAACCATTATTTTATTGATTATTTGATGTCATGCTTTCCTTCAACTTAAGTAAAGCAGTTCTTGTTGTTTGCAAGGATGGAGATGTATTACTATCATGACTTAAGTTACTACTTTAATTTATTGAAAGAGCATTTTGATTTTCATTGATATTAGAATTTATCTTATTCCGATCATAATACATTTCTCTTCTGTGCAAGTTTGACTTATTCTTGTTAATAACATAAGGACTCTTGTTAAATTCATAGATGTTGTTGGAAGTTAAGCTTGCATTAGTAGTGAGATTAGCTCCATGAGACTCGAACCCAGATTTGTTCAACACTACTGACTCATCATTTTGAATATGATGATGAAGATAAAGAGGAGATTGTGCTTTGATATTTCCACTTTACTTCCTTGTCTAGCTAATATTTTAGTTCTAACTTTCATCTGTCTAATTTTGGCTATCATTCTTTTTAATCTTACTTAGCTCACTTGCAAATATGCTATATCACTCTCGGTTCTTTAAATTTACATCTGGGAAGAAGTAGTTGAGTCCTTGGTCTCCTGCCTTCATATTTGGTTTATGCATATTACCCCCAGTATTATTTGTCATCGCACTAACATGTCCACCACCACTACTTTGAATCGAGCTCTACTCACCTCGATCGTTAAACTCTTAATCCTTCATGTTATTTCGAGACTAATAATCCTCTATTGAAGGTTGTGGTTGATATATACTGTTCTTTCTAATAATTGGACTACGAAAAATTGGGATTGTCATGTCAATTTTAGATCTTTACTATTCAGTTTATGCCCCAGTACAATTATTATTGTTGCTATTGTTGATCTAGGATACTATTGTTATAGGATTGAAGCTAATATCACCTTACGGTTTTTTAATGTTCCGTTTTGGGATTCTAAGATTAACTATAGGTTGATCATTACTCAGAGTGTTTCTTCGGTGCTAAAAGTCATTATTTATTTGAGTTATTTTTTAAATGTCATTTCAGAGTTTCAACCTGTTCAGATCTCTTCCAGTTGAGAAATTTTTACCCTTATTGCTATTTAAAGCTGGAGTGTTTGTTATTATTAGTCCCTCATTCTTCTATGCTGGGCTCACATTAGTTAGATTTAAATCTACCCCGTATTTAGCATTTGGTTGAATTTTTCTTTGGTGTCTCAGGGTAGTTAAATCTGGAGATTTACTGGCTTTATAATTGATCTAAGCCTATACAAGATTTAGAAAACTTTGCTCCATTATATAGATAAAATTCTAATATATTTATTGAACTATTTTTCCTGTAATTTCTGCATTTTTCGTATTAGAGGGGTTTTGGGGTTTTGGGG